AGGAATTTGGCTCTATATTTGCCTCTCTTATTTCTTAGGGAGATAGCTTAGTTCTTTGAAGGCAAGGATTGAGTTTTAAATAGTTGCTGTGTTAAGGTTTAACATTTTGTGGGTAGTAGATTTAATAAGTTGATGATGGAGGTAGCTAGCCTTTGGATTGGCACTTTAAGCTTATTTGTTACCTAAAATCTGTTATGTTATGGGCACAGTTTCTCTGGAACCTGAGTTTATGGTTGCTTTGAAAATGTGGTATTCTAAGCCAATTGGAATCCATTTCCCTTGCAGATCTTGCCCTGATGGGAACTTAGAAGAAGGTGTAGGGAAATGAGCAAAAAAGCCATGGCCTAGATTGAAAAATGTACAGTTATTCTTTGGGGCCTCATTGAAAGCTGGTGAGCTCCACATGGTATTCATGAAGACATGAATTTGTATTATAGTTTAATACTGTTTTCCCACCAGTCCCTTAAAGCAGATTTGATTCATTGCCAAGAAGCCTAGAAACACTAATGTTGATCAAGAAACACTTATTAAGCAATTACTATGTATCAGGCATTGTCCTAGCTTCATGGGATATGAAGACAAAGAATAAAACAATCCCTGTTCTCACAAAGCAAATACACATGTAAATATGTACAGAATAAATATTAGGAGATATAGGCTAGGAGGTGCTTTGAGAAGGAGATTAGTAACAGCTGAGAAGACCAGGAAAGACTTCATATAGAAGGTCCTGTGTGAGTTGAGTCTTGAAGGAAGAGATGATTCCTCAAGATGGAGGGATAGAAGGGATTGCATTCCAGGTGTAGGGGATGGCATATTATGATGTATAGGGAATGGAGAAAAGGTCAGTTTGGCTGGGTTGCAGATTTCACTGGGCCCGTAATGTCAATGGTGCTGTAAAGATAGGTTAGGGTCAGATGGTGAAGGTCTTTAAAAACCAAACAGAGTTAATATTTCATCCTAGAGGTAATAAGAGACACCACTGGACATTATTAAGTAGGGAAGTGTTATGATCAGTTCTAATGTTAAGAAAAAATCAACAGTGTTGATTTGGCAACACTATATAATATGAGCTAGAGTGGGGAGGAACATGAGGCATGGCTAGCAATTAAGAAGATGTCGCGATAATTTAGGCAAGAGATGATGAAGGTCTGGGCTACCATAGTGTCTGTGTGAGTAGAGAGAAACTGGATACAGATTATGATCTTTGGACATTGGAAGAATGGTGGTGCCTTCATCAGGATTCATGAAGTTTGAAATAGGAGAGGGTTTTAGCAGAAAGGTTGAGTTTGAGATATTTCCAGGATATCCAGCTTGAAATATCCAATAGGCAGTTGGTGATGCAGGGCCAAAGCTCTGGGGAGAGTCTGTTGTTCATTTGCTTTTCAGTTGTATCTGACTCTTTGTGACCTTATTCGAGGTTTTCTTGGCAAAGATACAGAAGTGGTTTGCCATTTCCTTCTGATTTTACAATTGAGGAACTGAGACAAAAAAGATTAAGTGACTTGCCTCAGGTCACACAGCTAGTCTGAGGCCAGATTTGAACTCAGGAAGATGAGTCTTTCTGACTCTAGATCCAGCACATTATCATCCACTGTACCACCTAGCTGCCTCAGAGGAGTCTCGGGCTAGGTTTAGAGATCTGGGAGTCATCATTTTAGGGATGATAATTAAAGCAATGGGAGTTTGTGTGGTTACCAAGAAAGATGGTATGGAGAGAAGGGTGCCCAGGATAGTATCATGGGAACACATTCAATCCAGGGGTAGGTATGGATTATGAGACAGAGAGAGAGAGAGAGAGAGAGAGAGAGAGAGAGAGAGAGAGAGAGAGAGAGAGAGAGAGAGAATGAATTGAGGCTACAGTCCATTGGAAACATCTGAGGGGTTACCATCAACAGTACATGTAGAGAAGTTGTCTTTAGCTAAGTAAAGGATCATCTCAATAGAGATTAATTAAGACAGAAGAATTTTGAGGAGAAAGGGTAGGGGAAGAGAGAGAACTGAAGGTGAATGACCTCCATTTTCTCAGTGAAATAAGAAGTGAGATCATAAGATGAGCAGATAACAGAATGTGTGGAGGGTTTGAGGAGTGGTTTTGGAATGATCTCTGGGGAGAATGATACAGGGAAAGCAACTTTATGGAAAAGTACTTTACAGAAAAGTCAAAGGATTGTCCTTCTGTAGTACAAGCCCACTGTATAACACAGATTTATAATGTATTTAATCAGCATGGTTCTATGAATCCAGAACTGAGGTTTTACAAGGGATGAGTGGTGATTTCTCTCCCCTCTCTGTAGGGGGATTAGGGAGTCAAGGTAGATTACAGTGTCAAGGTGAAGTAGTTAAGTGTAGGGTAAGAATTGGGGAGGTAGGACACTAAAGTCAAAACAGTGGATAATGGCCTGAGAAAGTGTTGTGGGATGGTGAATAATGGTGAGAGCCAAGGATTGAAAGGAACTGAGACATTGAGAGGTTAGGGAATTGAAAGGATTGTCAATTTGAATGCTGAAGTTGCCTGAGGTCTGAACAGGAGTTGGGGAGGAGAGAAAATTGTGTGAGCCAGGTGCTGAAGTCCTTGAGCATGAAGGAGAATGGCCTAAGAGTGTTTTATACAGCCCTTGTCATGATCTGAATAAAGTAGAAAATTTTAATTGATTGCAATTCAAAGGAGTACAGTTTGCTGAAGGATCCAGGGTGAAGGTCAGGCTCGGAGGTGACAGTGGAGAACAAGGACCAGTATGTTTGGGGTGGATGGGTGGATGGGTGGAAAGTTGAGTGAAGGCCCCAGGGAGGACTTGAGGATAAATTGCCCTGCTTCTCCTGTGATGTGCCTGTTGGAGGAGGACAGTTGAAGTGCTGAGGTGAGATCCCCAGTGGGCAGAGGCGCCATTGTGCCAGGCTTTGGTCTTATTTGCTCTGGCCTGTTCTTCTTCTGATAGGCTTTGGAGTTTGGATGTTGTAGCTAGCCCTGTAGGTGTTGTAGGCTGTAATGAACCACAAACAATGGTGGCTTTATCTTCCGTCATAAGGAGAAATGGTGCTTGATGTGGACTGCTAGTCCATTAGCTTCAAAAGCCTCAAGCCCTCAGTAATGACTCAACTGTAAGATTCTGATGGCAGGAGTGAAGATGACTTTTTGATTTCAACTTGTGAGCTCAGTTGGAAGAATGAATCAGCAAGGCCTATTGAACGGGGCTGATAACGGAGTGATGATTTTGTCATACTTTCATGTTTGTGTTTTTTTTTTTTACCCATACTTTTGTCATACTTTCCTTCAGTGAGCTTTTGTCATGTATGAGAAGGAACTTTTACCTTGAGGGAGAGATTGTTTATGGATTAATATGTTTGCTATTGCCAAAGATCTGATAAAAACGTTGCTCTTCTTAGGATAACCTGCTCCAAAATGAAGGATCCAAGTAAAGCAGAGGACCTTTTAATTCTGTAATTTGTCACTTTCATTTGTTTGTGAACATTGTGGACCTTTCCAGAATTTAAAGACCTCTTATGACACTTGTTCATGACACTCCTTGTCTTTTCTTATGTTGCAGCCTGTCTCGGTGCCTTTTTTAGAGCAACGAGATGATATTTAAGTTCTTTCCCCTTTACCGCAGTTCTTCCTTCTTTAACATTATAACTATGTGGGTAACTTAAAACCCACCTCTACTCTTATTTGAAAGTGGTGGGTTATTTTGATATCTTCATTTCTTCTTTCAGCTCCAGATTATGCTAATAATTTGTTTATTTAGTCTCATTTCATAGAATAAAGGATTTAAGTGCTTACTGTAGACTAAGCACTGAGTTCACAAATACCAAAGCCAGCCAGCCCCTGATCTTTGGGAATTTAAATTTCTAAAAGGGGGAGAGACCTCAAATATTGGGGAGAGTGGTGTCCATAGAAAGGAGTTTTATCTAGGTGAGTGTGACAATGTAGCAGTTTGTTGGCCCATCCTTTTTTAAAGGCAATAATAGTGTTGATTTTATTATATTTCTCAGGATAAGAAACAGAAAGAGGGAGAGAGTCAGCTTGTTAATTGCACACTCAGAATATAAAATAGCCAGGGTAAACATGAGGATACGTGGTCTCAGGGAGTGCAGAACTTGACTGGCTTAGCTCCTTCTGGTCTTGACTTCTGGTGGTATTGTTCATAGCAATAGTAGTAAGAGAGTAGAAACTGGAAAATGGTTGAAAATGTAGGCACAGGGTTCCAGGAAGCACACTGAATATCATCTGTAGAAATTGTTCTTTTGCTCCCAAGGCATTTTGTACACAACTCTGAACCCCTGTTTGAAAGGCTTTGGTTCCCCCTCTATCTTGACTTCTGATTCACTGGCTCAATAACTTTGGGATAAGTGTTATCCTCTCCTGTAGTCATATTTTGGCTCTTCATTGATATTGATTGTAGCTCTTAGAAACTGCAAGTGAAAGAATGGAATATTCCAAATAGCTTTAGGAAATCAAAGGAAATTTGGTATGGACCACAGTTTTTTCAGATATCACTGCTTTTAATTGGTGGGACTTCTCATTCCATAAAACAAAAGGGCTGGTTGGGTTTGAAAGGATTTCTCCAACCCCTTTGAAAGATAAGCACTAGAATAGAGTCTACCTTCTTATTGTCAATCCTATTCACACAGGTCACTGTTTTCTGCTCTTTCTAGACATTTGTATTATTTGCTTCCAAATCCACTTCCCTTGGGATCATTTTGTTCCATTCCTGCCCAAACCTTCTTCCTAGGACTTTGCCACATTGTCCTTTCCATCTTTTCTTCCAGGGTCTTTTCCAAATGTTTTGCCTCTCTCCATTCCAAGTACTTTCTTCAGAGGGTTGCCTGAGGTTCAGAGAAGTTAAATAACTTTCCCTGGTCTTATAACTGTTAAATCCAGGTCATCTTGACTCCATATCCTGCACTTTATCACCATACAGTTTATCTCTTATAGTTCCACAACAGTTTTCTAATAATGATAGTAATAGGATTCAATTCCATTTGTTTTTCTCTGCCTACAGGAGCGAGACGTAATGAGATCTATCTTGGACTCCTTTGAAAATGATATGTCCCCATTAGAGAATTCTCCCCAGTTGGCCCTCCAAGTCCATGAGGACATGGTGCAGAATTTGCAAGCTAATTGTGCTGAAATGGAGGTAAGTGAGCCTTAGAATTGACCTACTCTGTACACAGACTTCTTCAATGAATAAGGATGTCCTTTCTTGGCATAGTTGCTACACTTACTGCCACTGAAAAGCACTTTGTATTTTATATCTTTGTCTTGTATTCTAAAAGGCCCCCAATTTTTTTTTCAGTATGACCTGAGAAGATAATTTAGCCAGTGAGTGAATCCTGCATCAAGTCCAGTTAGGAACACCAGGCATTTCTCTGTGGTGTCTAGGTTTTGAAAGAAAATAAATTGAGCATGAGAGCTTGGGGAGTCATTCCATTCTAGAAGTATTTGGTCCTGTTTTGGAACAATCCACTTTTCAGTATATGTGTGAAATGTCCTTTACTACCTCTCCTTACTGCAAGGGTCAGATTTGCCATCTTTTTTTTAAAAAAAAAAAAGGTCTTTACTTTTTTTTTCTTTTATATTTTGATAAACCCTGAAGAAGCTGGAGCTGTTAAACTTTTGTCTCAGGGAAAACTCAGAACTGATTTGTTTAGTGTTGTAGAAAGTCTTACTGCTTTCCATACACAATTCAATATTAATAATAATATAAAATTTCAACATAGTCAGTTGACTGCTTTGTATATAAATTTTCATTCCAACAAACAAGCACTATATTTAAAGCTATTAGAATAAAATCTATTAAATTATTAAGATTAAATTAAAATTAAAATTAAGGCTATTAGAATAAAAAACACATTACTGCATCAAGGTAATTTTTAATTCAGAAATTTATATCTCTTTGTCATACAATGTCTCATCAACACTTCTTATCAAAACTGAAAATGCTTCCTATGTTCTCTCTTCTCCCAGCATTCACCTAGCTTCTGGTCAAGGCATTGATTGACAAAAGTGAAATGGTAGAGAAATCAGAAAGATAGGGAGTCTGACTTCTCTACATCTTTGGTCAGACCCTGGAGTTAGATTGCCAAGGGTGTATTAAATAGCACTGACAGTCCTTCATGGGGCAAAGTGTAGATGCAATGCTAAAGAGAAGGACCATACCTCCAAATGTGTGAATGGCAGTCAGGAAAAGAAATAGCTTTATTTTAATTCAGTGAAATTTAACAAACATTTAAGTGCCTACTATGTGCGAGGTATATGCAGTTGAGCTACTGCTTACACAAGGATATAGTAAGATAAAATTCTCATCCTCTAACTGGAGTAATAAGACATGTACATAAATAACTATTAACATAACATACAATAAATGCAAAGGAGAGAGTCTATGAAAGTGCTTTTGAAGGACTGAAGAAGGACAAATCATTTCTGAGCGATGGGATCAGATAAACCATTGTAGATGACATGATTGGACCTTGAAGGTGGGGCAAGATTTGAGTAGGCAGAAATGGGAATGGGAGGGTGTGTAGTAGAGTCCATCCTTGGCATGGGCAGTGATGTAGCAAAAGTCAAGAGATGAGAGAGGCCATCATGAAAATAGGAGACAGGGAATAATCCAATTGGTTTCAATATAGATCATGGGAAAGAGTGACATGAGATTAATCTTCGTAGGTTGGAACAATGCTATGAAGGAGGAGATCTTGAATGCTATAATAACAAGTTTCTACTTTTGAGAAAGGAAGTGATGTTTTCAGAACAGTGAATAAGCAAAATTATACTGGACAAATGTGAAAAGCAGTTTGGAATGTAGACCTCAGTTAGGAGCAGAAGCCGATAGCAATAGCAGTTGGAAGGAAGCTAACAGGAGTTAGGAAATGATGTTTCTGAACCAAAGTGGTAGAGGTGGGAGTAGTAAGGAGGGGACATCTTTAAGAAATAGCAGTACAGTCAAAAGGACTGGGCAACAGATTTAATGTGGGAAATGAAAGCCAAAAAACCCCTCAAAAATCACCTAGACATTTTGAATTTTGGAAACAGAGAAATGATGATATGTTAAGCAGAAATAAGAAAGTTGGGAGGAGGGCAGGATTGATTGGGGAGGGAAATGGAGAGGGAAGATGATACAGTCAGTTTTGGACACGTAAGGAGACCTGTGTGGTTAATGTTATCTTGAATTTAAGATGTTATTGGGCTATCCAGCTGAAAATATTTAGTAGACATTTGGAAATAGAGATCTAAAACTGGAGGATGTATCAGGTTTGGAAATATAAATTTGACTAACTTCAGAAGTAATTAGTTACTGAAACCTGGAGGAGAATGAGATTGCAAAAGAAGAGAGTGTAGGAAGAGCACAGAAGGTCAAGGGACATGACCTTCTGGTGCATTCAATATATAGGCCAGGGAGGGTGGGGTGGTGGGGAAAGGAGAAGAACCAACAGCAGAAAGAGAAGATACTAGGAGAACTGTAAGTTCAGCGTCACAGAAGTCAAGGGAGAAGACAGTATCAAGAAGGAAGGGGTGGGGCAGCTAGGTGGCATAGTGGACAGAGCACTGGCCTGGAGTCAGGAGGACCTGGCCCCAGACACATAACACTTAACTAGCTTTGTGACGCCAGGCAAGTCACTTAGCCCCATTTCCTAGCACCCACACACACACACACACAAAAAAGAGGAAGAAGGAGGAGGAGGAGGAGGAGGAAGGGGTGGTCCACACTACACAATCCTCCAGGAAAGTCAAGGATAAAAGGGACTGAAAAAGGCCTTTATAGATCAGTAAGGACCTTGAGGAAAGTCATTTCAGTAGCAGTTAGCTTCCTTTGCAGGGGGCTGGGGAGTCCGTGGAAATGGAGAGAGTGATTATTCTGTCCAGATGTTTTGGGGGGTTTTTAAGTGTGAGAGAGACGTGAGTGTGTTTTCAGCAAAAGGTCAGGAAGCCAATAGAGAATGAAGATTTTCTGTTGAGGCAAATGGGGGAAAGGATGGGTGGGAAGTTCTCAGTTGTTCCTGGACTGATCAAATCAGTACATCTCACTCTTTTGATCTTTCCTTTTCCCTCCTCTGTCTTTCTTTTATCCAGAGATTCTAAAAGTGAGGTTCTGTTGATTATTTAGGATAGTGTGTAGGTTAGTTTTTCTGTGTTCTTCTGCCATCCTACCGCAAGAATTAGCTCTGCTCCTCTCCAGGAGGATAGTTGTAGATCATGACATAGAGGTTATCTGATGATAGAGAGAAAACTGATTTCAGTGTTTCAGGGGCTCAAGAGAAGATATTCTTTCCACCGCATCTTGCTGCCTGCCAAATGTGAGCCTCTTTTTTGATGGCACATGGTCTCAAAGACAGGTGAAGAAGTCTGTGATTTTGAGAGATGTGTTTTTGTGTGCTGCAAAAGTGATGTTAAATCATCCAGCTTTATCTTAAAGAGGAACAGAAGAAATCATGGACAGTTTTCTGCACATAATAGGTACTTAATAAATGTTGAATTTTTTGAAATTCCTCATTTTGCAACTAAAAGGGAAATTGGGGCCTGGTTGAGGGTTGATAACACAGACAGCAGTCTTGTGCTGATGCAGTGAATTACTGGGCTTGTTAATATGCTATCAGAGGTGTTTGTTCTCCATACTTTATAGCCTTTTGTGCATTTGTTATTGGTTAATTCTGCAGAAGGATGGGAAAGCAATCAGTCCTGGGTCGGTCCCCCCCTCCCCCCCCTTCATACTTCACTTCTCCTTATATTTTTCCTACTTTGCTTCTGTTTTTCACCATTTATTATAAATGTGGGATTATGACCATATTGATATAATTACCAATTCATCTCACTGTACTTTTTTCATCATCTTGCCTCTTTGAATCTTGAATTTCCCAAACCTTGGGATGAAATAACTCTTGGTTAAAGCGCTTTCAACCACTTTTTTTAAAGAGGAATTTTGCATGGCTCCATTGTTTTAACTCCAAGGACCTTTCTGTTGTAATACTGGATGGAGAACTTTAAGACCTGTAATGACACCCCATGTATCTTTATGCGTTGATAATTTGCCATTACATTATCTGTCAATTCAGTTTAACAAAATATATTGTATAAATGGGTGATACAACTGACTGATGCAAAGTAACAAAGGTGGAGTCTCTGCCCCCCAAGGAGCTAAAAATTCAGTTCATTCTCACTTACTTGCTCATCATATGAAGAATAGTGGTGTTGCACAGTCCAGACAACATTTTTGTGGGGCTCATGATATCCCAGGGCTGGGCACTTACTCAGAATGGACTCTCTGGAAATAGGGCCACTTTTTAACTGGGCTAAGTTCTGACTAGGATAGGCTCAAAAGAGGGCCATGATTTGGGCCCTGACTGAAGCTCCTCATAGTTCAGGTCATACCTTATTGCAAACTCTATGTCAGTCTTTTAATTTTCAGCTTTGTTTTAATAGGAAAGAGAATTATGCAGAGCACGTGATGAAACCAGGTGAATTGGATCATAACCAAAGCTGTGATCCTGTAGTCAGCTTCTGTTTTTCATTTTGACGGTAGAATATTTGTCATCAGCCTTGTGGGTAATGTGCCAAACTACCTTGATAGTTTATTTTCCTCAATATCCTTCTATGGGGTACAGTGTGCAAAACATAATCAGTACCCCCAGAATTTGAAACAGCTGATGCCAATGTAATTACTGAACTCTGACTTTGAATTTTGGATTTGAAAGGTTGACTCTAGCTGCACAAAGTGAAATCATCATAAATATAAGTGCATTAATAGCTATTTTATTACAGTGCATTTGGCTCCATATGAAACATTAATGAAGAGAGATTTGCAGGGAAGATTCACACTGACACCTTCAATAGTCCCAGTATTTTTTACAGTGAGAGATTTATACTGTCTGTACTTACCATATGTACCTTTATCAATTAATTATGAGGCTGATAGTTTTGGCACATCAAATACCATATGTTCTGATTTTTTCATACACCAGGAGAATTAGGGACTCTGTCAGTGACCTCAGAACTCATTCACCAAGTATTATCACCTTAGCAGCAGCTGTAGGAGTTGTACACCTGCTGATTCAGAGTACCAACACTGCCGAGGCTTGGAGCAGGCCTCATAAAAGAGGATCTTTGTGCAGTGAGGTGCTTAGCTGTCACCTTCTGTGTTTA